AAAAAAAAATAATTAATAAAATTACAGGAGTATCCAAAAGATATCAATTCGATTTTGATTCAAAATATTAAGATTTCCATAAAAATCACGATTGAAGTTAAATTGTCGAAAGATGATTATAATATTACCTCTATCTGTGGACCCGGACTTTTTCCATTAATTCCTAAGAAACTATTCGATGAAAATATTTCGTCACGATTCATCGATTTATTTTTGTTTTCAGAACCATTGTGAATGCTGCGAGCAAAAATAAAAATAAAGGGATTTTAAAAAATTTAATGATGTAATTTTTTTGATACATGTAAATGTTTAGCATAGAATTTAAATGAGAAAATTTTGTTAAACTATTTGCATGAAATGTATGTTGCCATCTGTTATCTAGCCTTATTGTCTGTCTACGCTAAGATAAACACGTCTGTGATGGTAAGTGGTAAGTGGTGAGTGTAAGAACCAGTTGGTAATTGAAAAAAATGCAGAATGCAATCCGTAACCAAGCGTGTTAACCGTTAGTTCTTAGATTACATAGAAATTGTATGTTTCCTCCACGGCTTGTTAGAATTGACCGAGATTCTGACGAGGTTTTTTCCTCTTAAAAAGAATACTCGCTAGTTTAGGTTTGCATCGTTAGTTTATTTTCACCCGAGAACAAGTAACTTATATTTTGCATCACGAGTGTTTGTATTACAAATAATTTTTATGTTATATAAAATTTCCTCTTATGGAAGAATAACTTTAAAAATTTGTCAGTAGTTTTCATTTTCGTTTTCGAAAGTTTCGAAAGTATATGTTACGTTAAATGCGTAATTGAATTTATGAGTTTCTCTCTTACCTGATTGGTCTAGACAATTCTTCAACGAAGAACTCGTAACGGCATACCTTTTTTGAAAGTGTATTGTCAGCACAAGACCGCACACATTCGTGATAATCATCATCTAATTTTCAAAAGAAGAGATATAATGTACCCAATGTATAAAATTTATTAACAAGCATTTAATTATATAACAAAGTAATAGAAGACTTGAATGCTATAAAATAATTAATTAACGTTTATTAATTTTGTTAAATATTAGTCGATATGGATTCTTTGAAGAAAGAAAAAGAATCCATATGTAGTCACGTCTTTGATTTTTATTTTGAAGTAATTTTTAATAAACATGCTTGGAAAAACTAATGTATTATAATTTCACAATTTTATTTTATTAAACTTAAAGTTATACTTTGTAGATATCTTAAGTCATTTATTTTTCCACCTTTTGTTTGAGAAATAGATATTTTTAGTAAATTAAAAAAAATGGTAAAAACAATCAAGTTATTCTTGAACCACCACATTTTAACCCAGACAAATTAGGTCTCGTTGAAATCTGGCAATTTATGAAGACTGATAATAATTAATAATCATCGCGAATCACAATGACTCGAGAAATTAAATGCTGACGATGTTACGCGTTTCACGATCATACGACGACTTAGTTGAATCTATCTTGGTTGGTGAAAGCAAGGCCTAGGCTACTTTTAGTATTATGTACACTAAACTGCATTCGACGCAGATTCAAATTTTCTGTTATGAAAAACATATCTGCCTAACTATTACTAAGAAATTTGGATGAGAAATATTTATTATTAATGTATATTTCTTTTTTGCTTTATACTTATTCTAAGTAATGATTAATTGAAAAATATATACTAAATTAATTTAAAATATATATACTAAATTTATATTCGGAATTTTACAATAAAGTAATTACATGATATGTACAAAATATTTACAAATTTATGATATTAACAATTGAATTCAAAATCTTTTTTTCTCAATTTAATATTTTTCTTTGAAACATAATTTTTCATCTTATTCTGCATGCTATATAAAATTATGTCTATATTAATACTGACAAGCTCAAACATGTCATTATGTCAGTAATGGTCTTATTAACTTTGCAAGACCAAGTATTTGGAGTTCTTAATAAAAAATACATTTAATATTTATGACTATAGAAAAGCAAAAAATGTTGAAATAACTAATGTACATATATATATAACTAATATACATATTATATAGATAGAGCTAAATTAACTTTGTAACATTCTAAACTACATAATGGTACACCAGTTTTTGAACAAGAATACTTTTTTGGATTTTTACATTGATTTACGCCACAGAGTGTTCGTATTGATGGCTCTTTCCTGAAAAACGGAAATATAACAAATGATATAATTTATATTATAAAAATTTCAATCTTTTAAATTGTTTGTCATTTTTACTTACTCTTTCATAGCCTGTAATGGAAAATCTTCTCCAGGCGGTAAAGATATTGAACTTCCTTCAACTGTTAAATGATAAACAACCAATGGAACTTGTCTTCTAGAAGGTTTTCCTTTACTAATAACTTTAGAAGCTTTAGATTCTTGTTTTTTTAATAACCTTTCCATTGTCTTTTTCTATGAAAGTCAAAAGTATAATTTTAAATACTATTTACTACTATTTTAAATACTATTTTAAATACTATATAGAGTTCAGTATATTACTTTATACTAAGTATATCTATTTTATAAGAAAAAGTTCTTAAATATTTAATTTTCATGATCACATTACTTTATCTTTTTCTCTTTTTTCATCAGCAAGTTGTTTTCTTTTCAATGATTTAAGAGCAGCTTTTTGTATAGCTTCAGCTGTCATCACTTTCTCTTTGTAACCAGTTGGCAAAGACATAAGTTGTTCAACAGCTGGATTTGGTTCTGTGTCAGTTTTTCTTTCAAACATGGCTCTTTGACGTGCTGTCATTAACTTTGGATCTTTTGGTTTGATCTTTTTTAGCTCATCATCAACCTAAGATAAAATATATTTAATTATGATATATAATTATATATAAAGATATATAATATATTATATATAAAGATATATAATATATTATATATATATATATTTAATTTATGACAAAGAAAACTTATCTGTAAAGAATGAAGTAATGAACTTACTTCTTCAAGTTTCCCAGACTCAATTGCATCAAGCCATCGTTCTTCTTCACTGCTAGTACCACTATCTTTACTTTTGTTACCTTTTGGAACTTTTTTCTTTGTTGCAACTTTTGGTGATAGTGTAGTACTTGCACTTGCGATGCTAAGATTAGATGTTTTTTGCATTTTCTCACGAGGTTTCTCTAAACTGTATAAGATATCAATATAAACTACACCTTTCATTTATAATAATATCTAATTCATTTCTGCTTTCTACTTTATTTACCTCTTATCGTCATCCTTTTTAATTTTAACTCTAAATGTTTTCTTTTTTTCTGTTTCTGCAGTAACATCATTAAAACCATCATTATCATCATGACTAATTCTTTTCTTTTTATGTTTTTTATGTTTATGTTTCTTATGCCGTTTTTGCGACAATAATTCATTAGTTCCTAAAAGATAAATTATATATAAATATAGAAGTTACTAAAGAAGTAATTATAAGTGTACATAAATGCATATAATTTTCAAATTTTCCGCGAAACAGATTCTTGCAAAGCGCCATCGATGTGACGTTGCCTTTCAAGACACTCATCTTACAGAATTCACTAACCCCAATGATGAAATTGACAAAACGAAAAAACTAATAAATATTTCTATCTTTGCATAAATCTGACGTTCATTTTCCAATACAAGAAAAATCATACCTAAAATTATCTCTTCATCTGAACTTAAATCTTTTGTTTTACCCATTTTTTGAAAGGTAATGTTTCTCAAAATATCAAAACATAATGTTTGATGATGTTAACACAACTGCCGTATAAATGCAAATTAATTCGTGACTGTAATGTTGGTACAAAATCAGGTTGGTAAACATGAAATATAAATTTAAAGATCAGCTATAAGTAAATCTTTAAGAATAAAATTTTGCTACAGTACGCAATAATAAACTTATATTTTATTATAACATTTTCAATAAAAATGCATTTTTAAATGATAACTTATTAAATAGCTAAAATATTATTAATATTATATTAATAATATTTTATAATAGTTACTAATATTATATTTTTATTAAATAAAAAAATTAATTTTTTTAGCTAGTTATAAATTATTCATGATTCACAATTATGTTTTTATAGGCTTGTACAAGATATGTTTAATCTTCAAATAATAATTAAATTAAAAAAATAATAATTATAAATAAATCTTTTTTAAGAAATTATTCAATTCAGTGAATATTAGGGCAGGAAATAGAAATAACATTTAGGAGATGATAAAAATAAAAAACAATAAATAAAATTTATGATAGTAAAATATCATTGACCAAAATATTATTTTAATGTACATATATAATGTATATTTGTACTATATTTACAAGTAGTTATAATATTAATTTATTTCACAAATTATTAATTTATTTCACAAATTAATATTTTTGTTTTCCTATATTATATTTGACGATGAAAAATGATGAAATATTGTATTTTGTAAATATGTTCTTCTTGAAGAAAAGTTATAGAAATGTTTTCAGAAAACACTCATTTACATTTAGCTATAAGTCTTTGTTAAGTCTAATAAAACACACATACTTGTATATGTATTATCAATATCATGCAATAACATATTTATTTCTTAACTTATAAAGCAATAATGAAACATATCTTAGTCATCTTGACGTTAATTCTGCAATGAAATTTTGTCTTAATAAAAGTGGTCTTTTAATAAAGTGTACAATGACTTTTGTAGATTGTTGTATGTTGTATGTAGAATATATAAATTTTATTGTAGAATATTTATTGAAACATGGACACTGTTCCTAATGTTATCTAAACTTAAACCTACATAAAAATTATAATTTAATATTGCATAAAAATTATAATTTAATTGATATAATGTTTTCATAAAATATATTAAATATAATGTTATTATTATCTTTTTATAACAGTAATAGTATATACACATACAGGACTATTTATATATATTGTAACTAGAATTTAATATTATTTTTTCTTATGACACTATTATTTAATATTTTATTCTTAATAAAATTTGGCAAGTTAAATTTATCTGTATTTCTGTGTACATTTGTAATATATAATTTTAAAACTGATTGGATATTTGATTTCTAGACAAAAAATGTCGAATAAAAGAATATTTTCTTACTTGAGCAGTATTTAGATGAAATTTTTTAATCTTCAATTAAAAAATTGAATTAACTGGTAATTTTGAAAATTTTAATAGGTAATTAATTCACCCGGATACAAGACAAAACTTTTTACATATTATAATAAACGTTGTTGGCTTGTACAATGTGGCTAGATTAAGAATTTCGTCGATTTAATAAGTGGACCATGGCTACCCTATGTATTTTGATGGGACGTACTAGTTTCCTGAAAGAAAAGATAAATGATCAGTATAATTTTTAGTTTATCCTTGACTATAATTAATTCTATTTATTTTATGTGAAGATATGTAATTTGAAGAACGTCATAGCTCGTGTCGGTTTTACCTGACAGAGAAGGCCATTAAAACCGTGCTCTATTGTGAGGTTGAAAAATTCAGCAGCAATAAAGTTTTGATTAATATAATATATATTGCATTAATTTACATGTTACATAATTCTATTAAATGTAGTGACTTATAATAAATGCAAAATATGAACCACATTCGCTAGCTATAATTCTGAAATTTTCTTATTTTAATAAAATTATAGGAACTTAAATTCTTTTTTGTTGGGAAATTTTGTTATTTATATTACTATTGTTATATTTATATTACTGTAATATACCATAGATATCGTCTTGTATTCGGGAGAATAAGTTTTTGAGCCAAGAATTCAATAATAGCAATGAATTGGAATACATATGGTCCCATCATTAAATATAAAAGTTTTGCATCATATTAAAAAAAATATGCAATATTTATTGCATCAAAAAATATTAATCTGAACTATTCATTGGATCATAATATATTTGTTTTTATAAGTGAAAGCAAAATAAAAAGCATTAATACAAAAAAAATGTACCACATTTTGGAATGATATATAGAAATTAACATAAAGCTTATGTGCTTATAAAAGTCAATGTCTTGTTCATAATAAAGGACCAATATTTGTACAATCAAGGAATTAATTATAATCTGAATTAATTTATACCAGATTAATTTATATATTTCATTATAATTATTTTACTGGCAGTGTTTACTCCACATCATCCTTTAAGCAGTTTAGTAGAATTTGAGTTGAAAAATGCAGACATATTTTTTATTTTATTAATTTATTGACAGATAATTTTTGTTCTATAAAAAAAAAGAATATAAACACGAAGACTTTATACTTATGGTAATAATAATCATCATCACCACCAACATCATTATAATATGATTGTACTTTAATAACTTTA